TCAGACAACTGTATAGATATATAAAGTCAGGTAAACTATATAAAGAAGTCATCAGACACCATGCATATTCCATAACACACCCTCAAATGACAATTAGACACTACGCTATCTGCCGAATTACGTGACTTGTCTGTATAGACACATTAGAATCATTCTAACCTTGCTGATAACTGTAGCTTGTAATTGCCATTCATCTCCAGCAAGAACAGCGTGCCTCAGTCCGTGAAGTTGAAGGGGGATAATTGATTCACACTCCTTTAATTGAACAGCTTCATCAATGACTAACAATTTGAGAGGTTTCTTATCCACCAATTGTAGCTTAGAAGATGAAGAAGCTGTGCAAAATATTAAGGTAGCCATTTGGAAACGTAATCCTTTTATCTTATCTTTACTCATGGCACTTGGAATGTCAAGTTTTGAGGAAGAAGACTGGAGGTATCTTAGACAGACACTTGGTTATCACATCTGGTAAGGATAACGTATCAACAAACGATTTGAAAGAACCAACCTTTCCCTGATGTAAAAATATATGTTGCAGTTCTTCAGATTCCAGATTCTCTTGAAACAACAATGTTTCCAAAGAGTCCAGTAGGGAAAGAAGTTGCACTATGTATTGAAAATTTTGTTCACCAATGAAATTTCTAGGTAAATGATTAAAGAATGTCAGCATATGCCTTCTGAGAGGGAATGCTATATGTCTGAATCTGTCTCTAGCAAACTCCAACAAAGATCTTGATTCTGGTTTATGGACTTCATCCCCATCGAAACGGTACCGCGAAACACAACATTCAAGAAAACAGATCATGGAAGTTATACAGTGTTTCCAACCAAATGCAGATGATAAGCACTCTGCAAGCTTATCAACACGATAATCAAGAGTTATTTCTCAATGTCTGAAAACATTTCGGCATGATCCTTATTCCCGAAGACTAGGATGTCACCCAATGGATAAGATGAAATTCCGTTCTAATAATCAGCTTTAAATGAATCCCTAGATAATTTTACCACTCGAGTGGCCAGATCTGTGACTGCTACATTTTTTGGGGCACATATAAGGGTTCTAGCATTCGTTTGCAAGAGACAAAGTAGCATTACACTTAAAGTCCTCGTCTTCCCAGTCCCGGGAGGACCCCATATGAGTTTCACAGTAGACTTGTGCTCACATTGTACTCCCGTAATGGTGTCCACTATTGCCTCCTTTTGCGATTTATTCAGCTCGGACATTACAGTCGATCTTGTTGCTACATTTAGTTGAGTACCGCGTTGAGAGCAAACGTTACACGTATCTTTAGCCTGTTACAACATATGCAGATTTAAATGTCAATAATATTAGAATATGTGTAAATATGAGAGGGGGGGGGGGGGGACAACCCAGCAAGCATACAACTGAATTTGTGTAATTTTCTGAAGGTATACAGTGGAACAAAGTATAAAAATTTGACAGCATATAAAACTGAGAAATTGAAAGACAAAGGTCAAGTCTTGTGTTTTTAGAAATGTGTTTCATTGCACATCATTATATATGGTGTCCGTGTCATTCCATCCCATGAAATAAAACAAATTCTGAGTACATATAGCCCATGTTTGTCACCCATTATTTGAAAACTTAAAGAGTTTTCAATAGTATTTTATTTTTATTTTTTTTGGAAAATATGTGGTTAAAATTAAGGAAACTTTATTGGTTTGTGTGTAAAATATTTTATTGTTTGATTATGTAGTACAGAATGATACTGTAACAAACTATTTTAAATTTTGAAGGATGACAAACAGGCGCATAATTTTTATCGCATCAATTTACCTTTATAGCAGTAATGTAACTTACCAGATTACTAGTGGACAAAACAGTTTCGATGACGTTGAGATTTTTACACTTGCATAATGCATTCCATATTCTTTTATTTGTTGTTGTGTTCATCAAGAAAACAACATAGAGTGAATTGCACAATCCATCTCCATATTCAAAACACTTCCCGGCTTTCACTTCGAAATTGGCAAACACACCATTATTATCATTCTCCCCCTTTGCAATATGAGTCACATAAGCAATAGTCCATTTCCATCCAGAACTCTGTAGGTCAGCAGCCGCAGAAGGTTTCCCATTTGAAAGCAAATCAACATCTCCAGGCAAGGTTCTATATGGCTTACTACAGCTATCCATAAATCTATTTTTCCAACTATTGACTTCAACATCGTAAAGAAGTGATTCCTTATCCTCAGGACTTGCCACTCTAAGAGATATCACCTCTGCAAAAGGTGCTGCATTAATAGCATCCATGGAAGATTTAAGTTCAGCGCGTGTTTCTTCCCGTAAGGGGAAGACATATGAACCAAGATAATCATCCACAGATTGAAATAACTCTGGAATCTTCACCATCTAATTGCAAGAATGAAATTGAAATATATTAAATGAAAATTATGATCGAAAATCATAAATGAAATATTGGGGGAAAATCCATTAGCACGAGAAATGTAAAGTTAGATGATAATATCAGTAAATGATTTTATATGGCAGCAAACAAACACTTTAAAGTATTAAATATGATGTAACAACTTAAACTAACACTGTCACAAGAGAAAGACAACTTGAAATTACACAACATTTGATCATGTATAAACAACAAAAACATAATAAATCTTATTAATTATAAATTAGGGGTCTGCTACAATGTAAACATCCTCATGAAAAGTGCCATGGAGAAATGCATTGTTCATATCGAGTTAACGAAGGGACATAACTATTTGTGTTACAGCTTTCGATTCATCATTCCATCTAAAAAGTCCAAAAACTAGATCTTTTCCGAACCACAACGTCCCATATTACTTCCTCCATCTAACAGGATTGAGTTGGAATTGCTTTAGTGAATTTGAGTTTCTTTAAGTCTATGAAGGACATTAAGATTTCCCCAGTAGATCTTCCTAACATGAAGTAAAACCGGTATATTTTTTAATTGCATTTTAAAAAAATACTCAATTACCCTCTCCCATAATTTAAATTATGACTTTTCATCTAAATACTACTTTAATTTGCACGATATCTTAATTTCATCAACTAAAATAATAAAATGGATAAATGATATACCAGCATATTTTCGTGATAAATTATTATAGTTTTCTTCAAGAAATTATGGTAGAATTATAACTCAATTCTGCTCCTATTTAAATAGCATATAGTCTCGCATGTTTAGCAGATAAATTAAGTGGAGGGAATCAATATTGGTACAAATAAGTGCAAACTGCAACATAAATATGAAAACTTCCTCAAATTAACCTTGCATACAAGTGAACAAAATAAACTCTCTGAATCTTATATAAGACCTTTTCTCTGTAAAGATTCTCGTTAAAGATGTCTTCAAGGGTCCAAGAAAGCACCAAACGAATGAAATTCTCAGGCCATGCCCTCTTCTTGCTTGAACAACACTCTTCCATTCTCACTTTTCACCCACTTCTGTATGTTCTACCTACCAACTTTTTCTTCTTCTTGCCTTGTTTAACAGTAGCACTGAAATTCTGAAAGAAAAAAAGCACTTAACAGTCAAAACTGTTGCCAGCATGAAAAATAAGGACACTGGGGTTTCTTTGTAGTGAAAGCAAAATGGCAGAAGCACTCGTAAACCAACTCTTATAAATTTGAATGGACTCTTAGAATGCAAATGCAACAATGATAGAAAACCGAGAAACGGAACCATAGTCGATGAATTGGAAAGGTTGGGAAAGAATTTAGTCTTGAAAATGAAGGTGCCTCTTCCATTTCCCAATGCTACTTGACTAGAGCTCTTCAGTCTTCCATTTTGCTTTTTCACGTTAGCACATGTTTGGCCTGGCTTATATACAATATTAATGTCCGTATGTTTCCATGCACATGAAGATTCACAGGGGGAATTGTTGATTGGTAATAATCGAGAGAGTTTTGCTAGGGATACATAATTTGTTGTACCTGTTAGAATTTTAGTTGTTCAAAAAACAAAAAAACAAAAAATTTTTTTTTTTTTTTTTTGGACTTAACCATGCGGCCGCATGAGGCCCTCCTGAAACTGGGAGGGCCACTTGCACTATAACCATGCGACCACATGGTTATAGCCCATGCGGTCACATGGTTGTACAAAGTGACCGTTGGGGATTCGTTTTTTACCGTTTTCTTTTGAATTCGGTGCCTTTTCAACATAATTTTGCACCATTCGTGGGAACCCTTCAAAGCCTATAAATAGGTGTTCCAATTGCAATGAAAAACACTCTTCAGAAAATTAAGAAATCCACCACAAAATTATTTTCTCAAATTATCACATAATCAATCCTATATCTATTTTCACTTGTTTTTTTGTGAAAGATACACTTTACTTTTTGTGTTCTTCACATAAAGGCTTGTTTAATCCTACAAACTATTTGTCGGAACTCCTCAAAAGCATTGGAAAGGGGGCAAATAACGTTTGAGGATAGCGTTATCATTTTCGTGTTCAAGCCTCTAATTATATCTATATTCATTTCCTCTTTGTTATTACCAATTTTCTTCTCTTCATTGCTTTAAATTTCCAACAAACTCAAACGTTATTTGTGCATTTACTGCAATGGAGTCGAAATCTACTATTGCTACTATCAAAATGATGAATCAAGATCTGGTGCGTTTGGATAGATTCGATGGTGCAAACTTTACAAGATGGCAAGACAAACTCAAGTTTCTTCTAACGGCGTTGAAGATCTTCTACGTGCTTGATTCAAAATTGGAACCCATTCCCGATGCAACTGATAAGGACACCGAAGAAATTCGCATAGAAAGGAAGAAACGAGAAGAAGATGAATTGATATGCTGTGGGCACATTCTAAATGCATTGTCCGATCGACTACATGATCTCTATACAAACACTACTTCAGCTAAAGAAATCTGTTATGCATTAGAAAGCAAATACAAAGCCGAGGAAGAAGGTACTAAAATTTTTTTAATATATAAATATTTTGATTTTAAAATTTTAGACAATATACCTTTATTGTCTCAAGTACATGAGTTACAAATAATTGTGAACAAATTGAAAGTGATAAAAATTGAACTTCCCGAAACTTTCCAAGTGGAAGCAATTATTGCTAAACTCCCTGATTCTTGGAGAGGATATAGGAAGAAAATTCTTCACAATTCCGAAGATTTTTCTTTAGAAGACATACATAAGCATCTTTGCATTGAGGAAAAATCAAGGGCAAGAGATAAGATTGAAAATTCTTATGATAGCTCTTCGAAAGTCAATTCCGTGGACAATGTGGACAACTCCAACAAGTTCAAAAAGAAAGGGAAATTTCTTGGTCCTAGAAAGGATCAAGGAAAATTCAAAAAACAAAGCTAAAGGACCGTGCTATGTTTGTGGGAAACTGGGACACTATGCTAAATATTGCAGGCATAGGAAACAACATAAGAAGGAAGGACAAGTGAACTCTGTTGATGAAATTATTGCAACAATGAGTGAAATCAATGCAATCCAAGGCAAAGTTTCGGGCTGGTGGTACGATACATGCGCTACAATTCATGTATGTTACGATAAGTCTCTTTTCAAAACTTATCATGACATTGAAGATATCCAAGAAATACAAATGGGAAATGAAGGAAAATCAAAGGTGATCGGTAAAGGAAATGTTGAACTCCTTTTCACTTCGGAAAAGAAGATCACTTTGACAAATGTGCTGCATGTACCGAAAATAAATAGGAACTTAGCAAGTGGTGTACTCTTGGGAAAAACCGGGATTAAATCTGTCTTCGAATCTGGAAAACTTGTATTAACCCATAGTGGGCATTTTGTTGAAAAGGGCTATTCCACCGAA